AAAGGCATTCCCGAGCGCGTTGGGCTCGGTAAGGCGTCGCTCGGGCTGTGTCCGTGCGTGCGTGCGTGTGTGGGATGTGGTGGAACCGAGGGCTTGGCCTCGCGTCTCCCCTGGTGTGGGGAACGTGACAACACGAGCATGGCGACTCCGTGCACTGCGGACATGGGAGGAGGCCGGGGAAGCTCACCAGAGGTGCTGGTGAGGTTAGGCTGGTGGTGCAGTGCCGTGTTGAGTTGACGCAGTGCCGTGCTGAATAGCAACAGAGAAGAAGGCGTGCTTCCTCTTTGTCTCCGGTGGCCATGACGGCTTGGTGGCGTCGGGGCTCATGGCGCTGGTCACAGGCTTGGCGGTGTGGCCTTCGTCGTCATGGCCACCAGTGTCATGGACGCATCGGTGCTTGGTGACGAGGTGGATCCCTGAGGTAGCGATCGTGGTCGGCGCTACGGGCCATGGTTCCGGGAACGGCTGCCCGAGGAGCGTAGCACGCGCGGGCGATGTCGCCGGGGCGTGTAGAGGGATGGCGGCGGCTTGGAGGAAGAAGAGGGGCGGCCGGTTGCGGCGTTTTAATAGGGCGAGCGACTAGGGCTCCAGGCACTGTGGACGGTGATCCTTGGCTTCCGTGCAGAGAAGGGGCACGCGATGCGCATCGTGCGGCGTGGAACACGGGGTGATGTCGGGCGCCCGCACGCGGTCTGGCGGCGACGGCTGGGAGCGGCTACTTGCTAGCGCATGGGCGCTGCACTGCGGCTATTGGGCTTTCGGCTGGGAGGCCGGCCGGGATGCTGCTTGCATGGGCCAAAGTGAGGTGGAGGTGAGCGGGCCGGCGGGATAGTGGCAGCCAGGCTGGGCCAAAGGGAGCAGGGCCGCTGCCTTGGCTAGACCAATGGAGAGAGCAGGCCATGCGCGCGCGTGGGCCAGAGGGGAGAAGCTGGGCCAGGCTGGGCTGCTGCGCCGGTTGGGCCAAGAGAAGGGGTGAGCGGGCCGTGCAGTGGATAAAGAGGGAGGGGATGGCCTGGTTGGGCTGGTGCTTCGTCTTGGGCCGAAAGGCTTTTCTATATCATTCTCCTATTTCTTGTCCTTTTCTATTTCTATTTCCAACCTATTTCCTTCCATGGTTCCTATATTGTATACATGTGTCTCCAACATGTACACCTCCTAGTGGGGTCCACTAGAGATCAACTAGGGGTAGTGGGGTCCATGTCAAAGGTTGGCAACTCACGGGCATTGAGTTGATGAAGATAGTTGGTTGATTATAGAAATTAGGTCAAGGGATTCATGAGAGATTCCAGAAAGAGTCAAAAGGATTTGCTACGGACTTGTGCTCTCCAACACAAAACCCTAAACCAACTAAGGAACTCCAACAAACTCCTACAAGCAACACTATATGTATGCAACAATTTATTTATAAATTGTTCATTGTTTGACCTAGTATATATATGCTTCACACATTTGCATGAAAAGTTTTTAAAAAGTTCATATTTTTGGCTTTTCCAAAAACCCGGTTTGTTACAATCAGCCCCAATAAAAAGAGAAGACTCCTACTCCTCCTCCCTCCCGCTCCTCCATCTTCATCACCCCCGAGAAAACATAATTCTTATCCTTCTCCACAATAGCCCAAAACAAGATCTAAGGCATCCTTGCAATCGCAGAAAAGGTCCTCGGATTTGGTCGCTAATGCTCTCAAAGTGGACCAACAAAAAAAGAAAAGGATGATGAGTGGCAGCATTACAAACTTGATGAACCAACAAAAGCTAGAAGTAGCCTCCAAGGAAGACAAAGTTAGATTCTGGAATCTATTTGCCTCACTGCCTAAGTGGAGGGCGCAGTCCAAATTCAATAGGCAAACAGAGAGTAAGCAAAATCAATTAAGAATTGAATAAATACACCATGAAGATCAAAGAAAGATAAATAAGATTGTCAAAGACAACCCCGGATTAACCAGGGATGATGCCACGAACATCTATTATGATTCACTATATGAGACGGCAAGACCGGCAATGCAGTTTCAAAGACGCAATTTCTTGGTGGACGAGGAGTATAAAAATTTGACAACATATATGCGTGACTTGCATGATTATTACATGGTCCAAGCACTTGAGACGGGGTAGCGCGGGTTTCGAATATATTATCCGCCCGCCGCATGTTTTCCATTATCCTAATGAAGAGAAGCGCTTTGCCGGTTGGGATCACTTGTTTCAGCTATTCCAGAGATGCGATCTCGATACACAAATGTTGACATCGTGGACTATGTAAGTACCCTACTCGCATGATATTATAATTAACTATTCTCTTGATACACAAATAGTTAATGACTGCATATTCCCCATGAATTATGCAGGTGTGTAGCAAAACATTGCTTCAAAACAAAGTACGCTCATATGTCTTTCCTGGACCCCGAGCTAGTCAATGAGAGAACATGTGGAGGTATGCATGGAAATAAAGTGGAAGATCTGATGGAGACACTGACTTCCATTTTCAAAAATTTTAAGATGAGTAATAAAACCAAAATACTTCTAGCCTACAACTGCAAGTATGTGTTCTCTGCTCTTATTTTTATGCTTGTTTTTGTAGTTACGATTATTCATTAACTAGGGTTTTGTGATTGCAGTAACCATTTTGTCTTCATTGTTGTCGATATTAAAAGAAATCGTATCAAGGTGTGGGACTCGAACAAAAGGCCACTTTCTTTGCTCGATCCCCAAGTCGAAGTGCTTAATGCGTAAGCGAACCTAATAACATATTATTTTCTAATCGCACATAGCATATTCTAATGTTGCCCCTTTTTCACACTTTATAATGTGGCACAGTGTCCAGGCAAGAATGGTCGGTGGGACGAAGGTCCGATTCTAGGTTGCACCAATGCAATTGGAGACCCTAGACCAGCCGGCGGGAACCAAAGAATGCGGGTTCTACGTAATGTGGGCAATGCTTCGCTACCTCGGTGTAAAATCGGAGGCGGCAAATCATTCGGTGTGTATAATCCCCATTTTATTTATATCTGTTAATTCAACAAAACGATCTACTTATTTCTCTAACATTTTTGCCTTTCATCAATTTTTTTGAATGACAGCGCAAGAAATTTAAATACAATAGGCTGTTAGAAATGGAGGTCATAGCACTGTCATCAGAGCTAGCATCCTTCATCGTATCGGAGTGCTTGGAAAAAAATGAACATTCTCCATTGCACAGTCCGTGAAGTACAAGGCGCAGTACGGGCCAAAGCAGCTCGCTAGACTATTGTAATTTCTTTTTTATTTCAATGGATCGAGAGCTTCATAAGTACATTTGAACTGTAACCATAACATTTGTAATGTTTAATGTTGATGGACCTGTCATCTACGTAGCGAAAATAAAGCGAAACCCAATTCCACACAAAAAAATAAAAATAAATTATATAAAACAATAAAATACGAAAAAGAGATCACTGCCGGTTTGCATGTCAAGTCGGCAGTGATGTCTTGAGCAACACTGTCGGTTCAAAGCTCAAGCCTGCAGTGTTGGCTTGAGTATTACTTTCGGCTCGAGCCACAAGCCGACAGTGTTGGCTTGTGCATCACTGTCGGCTCGAGCCACAACCCGGCATTGTTGCCTTGAGCATTACTGTCTGTTCGAGCCACAAGCCGGCAGTGTTGGCTTAAGCATCACTGTCGGCTCGTGCCACAAGCCGACAGTGTGGGCTCAACTCACACTGCCGGGTAGTGCCTGGAACCGACAGTCTTGCCTGCACATCACTGGCGGTTCTGAGTACCAGCAGTTATGTGAACCCCACATCACTGCGGTATGCCACTACCAGTTTAAAATCCGGCAGTGACAGGGGATTTTGAACCGACAGTGATATCCTAATATGGGGTAGTAGATGTATGTAGTTATTGTGGGGGCTTTGCTTGGCCTCCTACCCTCACTAAAGGATAGCGTGGAGGAGGCTGAGGGTGTCCCACAGGAGAAGAAAAGCTAAGGATGGACAAAGTGGAACAGGATAGGATCGTAATAAATTCAAGAGTAAATAGCCATTAGTTCGTCCCCTATCATCCTAGTGTCCACTGGGTATTTATAGACCATACCAGGGGCACAGTAAAATTGCAGTCATCCTTAAGCAGACCAGGGACCCTCTTACATGGCCATAAGAGTGTTAAGGACATTCTGTCCTTCACTCTCAAATACTCCTCTGATGCCGTAAGGTTCTCTGTCTCTAGAGACCACCGTCTTTCGTCCTCTATTCATGGCGGGGGGGCGTGGCTCCACGAGGGTTCCTTCTTGCCCGGCTGGCCTTGCGAGCAATGCGTAATCTACAAAAGCACAAGATCAAAGTTACCCTCTCTGGGAGCGTCGGTGAGGCCACCCCCTCGCTGATGCTACTCCATGGGCCGTGATGGGCGAGGCCACACCGCATGCTTCTTTTAGGTGCGGGGGAAGAGAGCGGGCAAGGGTCCGGACGGGGTATGACGGGGTGGCGCGCCAAAGGCGTCGTCCAACAGTTATATGTCTAAAAGTAATAGTTTTGATAGATAGCCTAGTAACAACCAAGCCACGACCTAAAATTTGTCAATTTTGTTCTCTGTATATGACATGGAAAGTGTTTTTTATCTCAAACAAAATGTAAATAATGAAATATAAACTCTTATGAACATGCAAGCAAACAATCCATGGATTATAACTTCGTTTATTATTTAATACTGAACTAATCAGCTTGTTAGGGCAACTTGTGGTGGATGCCGTTCATACGGGTTTAAGTCGTCGACTTGACATGAGTTTTTGTATTTTCTGGATATACTTAATAACACAAGAAACATCTCCTATATAACCCAACATTTATAAGTTGAGATTTCTCCTATTCGAGAAGGTTCTCGTTTGTGTGTCTGAGCTTATATATGTTACAACAAGCCATTGTAGTCTTCAGACTAGACAGCTAATAACAAGCGTGCACGCAGGAGGATGAGGTAATCCGACATTATTCATATAAAATAGATGTAATAATTTATTTGCTACACCAGCACATAGTGCTAAATGGGGATCGCAAATGGTTCAGCCAACAACAACGAATGGACGGTATCCTTTAAGTTATGGCAGTTTGTGAAATTTTCCCCTTGGTTGTACATGAATTCCATCGTCCTCGTCAAGTTGAATATCCTCTCCAGTATTTGCTTTGGATAGGCATTATTGTCTGTGTTAAGCCACTCGCTGTTAAAATCTTTCCATGATTCCTCTTTGAGTACGTGTATCTGCCCACGTGCAACTTCGATCGAGACGTCGTGCTCCTTCATGTAGCTATCGATTGTCGAAGCAACATGAGGGATCAGCCACTCTCGCTGCATGAAGTTAAATATTCAAGATATTAGTAAGAGAAAGGCAAACTCATGCCAAGCATTACCCTAGGACCATAAAAAATGATTTTTAGAGGCGTAATCTCTTTACAGCAGTACTGCACGGTTAGAAATTACTGCTGCCGGTGCAGTGAGCCAGAGTGGACCGTGGCAAAAACTATCATGGAAAATTGCTCTCCAGAGCGGGTCAATATAGCAGAGCCCTGGCCAATTAATGTAAGCAATAGCGAGTAAACATTAGCACTTAATTTTCACCGATGGTTTTTTTATGACAACCACGGTGGAAATATGGGCTTTTTCACTGGTGGTAAGCTTATCTTAGCGACCATTGTAGATGCACTTTCAGTATTAATCTGCTTAAGCACCCTTAATTGAAAATGCCACACTATATGTTCTTCCCCATGCTATAGTATTCTATTTAGGGAGCTTTTGGTGGCATAAAAAGTGGTAAAATATATGGAAATGTTGCTATGTCATATTAGAGTTTGCTACTAATTTTTTGGCTTACTTAGGGCAGTTCAATAAAACATTAATGGTGGTTTCTATCTTTTTTAAACGAGATGTCAGATGTCACCTAAGACCCTAACATGGAACCTAATTAACGAGGAACGAGGAAAGAGAATGAAAACAGAGGAAATCGTTTATTCACAGAGAAACGGCCTCTTCGCTTCGACCGATGCACGGAGCAACGATGAAATCGCCGTTGGAAGAAACCATCGGTTTCTATCCAGGGCGGCACGCGTGCGCTCGCCCGCGCCTGCCGCGCCGCCGCGCCCGCTCTGCCGCGCTCGACTGCGCTTGCGTGAGGCGGCCACGCTCGCCGTGCCGCCGTGCTCGCGCCACTCCGTGCTGGCCGCGCTCACCCGCCTGCCCGTGCTCGACTGTGCTGGGCCGCTGGCTGCGCTCACCCGCCGGCCAAGCTCGCCCGTGTGCTGTGCGCTGGCTGACCACCGCCCTCACGCCCGCGCCTGAGAGAACGAGAGGACTGGACAAGAGAGCATCCAAGGTATAAGGGTGAGAGAAAAATGTCCACATTTATGACGCAATGACTGATGATTTTTTGCTGATGTGGTCATCGTGTAAACCACACACCTCAATTTATGGTTGAAGCTTTCGTGTGGGAGGGCATGCATATGCATGGTATTTTAGGCATTAAATACATCAGATTAGTTAAAGTTTCTGGCCAATATTACTTCGATTTAGTCCTTAAGTGCATGACCATAAATTGAGAGCTTATTTTTCATCTAGATCTAGATGGTGGAATGATTTTTGTCTATTAGTGTCTTAGGGACCATATAATGCCACTCCAGGCCGTTCATATATCACCAATGTAAATGGACATTTTGCTAGCTTTTCTGGCTGACTAGTTTGCACAGCCTGTATAATTAAAGCTTACTTTACGACCTACTCCGTATAGAAACACCTTTTGTAGTAATGCATTTAGCTTGTCAGAAAATTCCCTCTGTGTGGCTTCATTGTAAAGCAATGTTATGTGAAAAATAATATCAAACTCAAATTCCAACCAAACTGAAAAATGGGAATTATGATCCCGCGTTAGGCTTCAAATTAAGATTGTCATATATATATATATATATATATATATATATATATATATATATATATATATATATATATATATATATATATATATATATATATATATATATATTAAACCAAGTAATGAGGGATATTACCTCATCTGACTCGAGGTCATCTTCTAGTCTAAGAATCACGGAAAGTGCTTGCACCATTTTAGGTACACTGGAAACCCAATCAAAGCATTCCTCTGTTGCTATATCATGCATCCCAACCAAGGAAGCACATGACAAAAAGGGACATCCGCTGGTCATCATCGAAACCTTCAGATGTTCTTCAACAGACTTTGGAATGTATCCTTCTTGAAGCATTTTTACCTCCTTGTTGTAGCTTCTTACTATGTCTTTTGCCTATAAATAGAAGATAGTTTTTTTAGTGAAACAGGAGGGGTTTCCCCCTACTGGATTTTATTAAACAACGAACTAAAAGGTTTACAAAGGCGTCTCACCAGACGAAGAAAGAAACAAAAAAAATCATACAAATTACACATAAGCTTCTGAATATATGAATTTTTTCACATATCAAAAAGCTAAATCGAGTATGTGTTTATAAACATGTTTGTGATAATAGCATAGCATCAAGTTAGCATGCAAAGCTACTAGCTAAATACTATATACACCTAATGATTTCCCGGATAATCATTCAGATTGATACCCAAAAGGCTGAAACATCTAGATAAGTAAGCCAACTTACAAAGTATCTTAGATATGGCATTCGATATTTCCCCTCCTGGCGGAGCATATTTTCAATGGTTTCATAGCTATTGAATATTTTCTCCAAAGCAAATTTCATGCACTCTGGAAGGTCACGAGCCCCCTTTGAATCCCAGCTGGAAATAATAGATCAGGAAAATTTGTGAGTTCTACATGATCACAATGATATAAAAATATTACTACATACATAGTTATAATAAAATGTTAGTACATACATGCAGAAACTTCTCAATGCAATTCTACTATGTAATTATTTATTATACACTCACTACTACAAAAACAAATTTGTGACACTAGACTTTGCACTGGTACACAGAACATTAGTACCGGCCGTTCTAAACCTATTTTCATTGGTGTTTTTACCAACCGTCAGTGTGAAAGGCCAACGAAAATCACGAATTTCACAGGCGTCTTCTAAAGAACCCCCACTATAAATATTTGCACTGGCGGTTTCCTTGTAAATCGATTTACACTAGCTATTTTCTTAAGAAAACCACCACCATAAATGATTTTTTATTATTGCAAATGGGATAAAAAATAGCAAATTATCCAAGGAGGCTCGCACGATGCAGCCACAACGGTTATCCAAGAAACCCAGGAATTGAACTCAGCAACCTCACGTGTTACACCCCATACCACTTGTGACTAAATAGCAGAAATATTCCCTTAGTATTCAGTCCGACAAATTTTAAAATGGTGATTTAAAGCCCTAAATGGATTCAACTGAAAAAGTTTCAACTACAAAGTTTTAGATCTCCTCGAGATCTACAACTTTTCTTTTGATCGCTTTCCTATCCGAGGTCATTTGTGAAATTCAAGAAAAATATGATTTTTAAAGTAGTTAATCTTAAAACATAATGATTTTAAATGCAAACATTATCAACTAGAAAGTTGTAGAACTTTTTGAGTCCTACAACTTTTGTGTAGAACATTTCTCCACCCGAGATTATTTGGAAAACTCAAAAACTTAATTTCGAATTATTTGTAGTGATGCTAGGTTAAGAAAACCGCCAATATAAATGCATTTTTACTAGCTATTTTCTTGAGGCTACCGCTGGTCGAAATCATGTATTTTTATTGGTGGTAGACTTAAGAAAATAGACAGTAAAAATAAGTTTACACTGATGGTTCATGGCCTGGACCCATTGTTTCATTTCCAGTGGTGCCTATACATTATGAACCATCAGTAAAAAAAATAGCAACCATATATCAGCGAAAATCAATTGTGTACTAGTGTTGTTCAAAGAGGTGGTCCTCTTGTTGTACGGTCAATAGAAATCATCTAGGGTACAAAATAACGGTGACCTCGGCTCTGATACCACTTGAAAGGTCCTAATGGCTAGAGGGGGTGAATAGCCTAATAAAAATTTCTACAACAACACTTAACAAAAGGGTTAGACAATTATAAGGCGAAGCAAGTGTTGCGCTAGCCTACTCAAAATGCAAGCCACCTACCATAATTCTAGTTTAGATAGTATCTATTCACACAATAGCTATGACACTACTCTATGTTAGTGTGCTCTCAAAGGCTAACTAAAGAGCCACACCAACCAAGCAAGCAAGCTCTCACAACTAACTACACTAAAGAGCTTGACAACTAGTTTGCGGTAAGGTAAGGAGTAGGCAAGAGAGTTATACCGCCATGTAGATGTATGAACCAATCAATCACAAGTGTGGATAACAATGAAGACCAATCACCTCGGAATCAATATGATCAACACAATGATTTTTACCGAGGTTCACTTGCTTGCCGACAAGGTAGTCCTCGTTGTGGCGATACACTCACTTGGAGGTTCACGCGCTAATTGGCTTCACACGCCAAACCCTCAATAGGGTGCCGCACAACCAACACAAGATGAGGATCACACAAGCCACGAGCAATCCACTAGAGTACCTTTTGGCGCTCCGCCGGGGAAAGGTCAAGAACCCCTCACAATCACCACGATCGGAGCCAGAGACAATCACCACCCTCCGCTCAACGATCCTCGCTGCTCCAAGCCGTCTAGGTGGTGGCAACCACCAAGAGTAACAAGCAAAATCCGCAGCGAAACACGAACACCAAGTGCCTCTAGATGCAAACACTCAAGCAATGCACTTAGATTCTCTCCTAATCTCACAAAGATGTTTAATCTATGATGGAAATGAGTGGGAGGGCTTTGGCTAAGCTCACAAGGTTGCTATGTCAATGGAAATGGCCAAAGATGTGAGCTATAGCCGGCCATGGGGCTTAAATAGAAGCCCCCACGAAATATAGCCGTTATACCCCTTCACTTTGCATAATGTGGGCTGACCGGACACTCCGGTCAGTTGACCGGATGCTGAGCCCCCAGCGTCCGGTCGCTCGTAGTCAGCCACGTGTCTGACTCCAACGGTCATCTACCTTGCCCGAACGGACGCTCCGGTCAGTTGACCGGACGCTGGACCCTTAGCGTCCGGTCGTTTCCAGTAAGGGTCTAGAACCGATTTTTATCGACCGGACGCGTCCGGTCATGCTTGACCGGACACAACCCATCGTCCCGTGCTTAACCCTAAGCGCTGTGCAGACCGACCACTTGACCGGACGTAGCCCTTCAATGTCCGGTCGCCAAGCGACCCAGTGTCTGGTCAATAGACCGACGCCAGCATCTCACTGTTACACATGACCGGACGCGCCGGTCCCTCAGAGGTCCAGCGTCCGGTCACTGTATAACCAGCGACACTAACTCGTTTTTACTTCCAACTTCTCCACCCTTGCTCAAATGTGCTAACCACCAAGTGTATCACCTTGTGCACATGTGTTAGCATATTTTCACAAATATTTTCAAGGGTGTTAGCACTCCACTAGATCCTAAATGCATATGCAATGAATTAGAGCATCTAGTGGCACTTTGATAACCGCATTCCGATACGAGTTTCACCCCTCTTAATAGTATGGCTATCAACCTAAATGTGATCACACTCTCTAACTGTCTTGATCACCAAAACAAAATAGCTCCTATGGTTTATACCTTTGCCTTGAGCTTTTTGTTTTTCTCTTTCTTCTTTCCAAGTCCGAGCACTTGATCATTACCATGGCATCATCTTCATCATGCTATGATCTTTGTTTGCTTCACAACTTGGAGTGTGCTACCTATCTCATGATCACTTGATAAACTAGGTTAGCACTTAGAGTTTCATCAATTCACCAAAACCAAACTAGAGCTTTCAATCTCCCCCTTTTTAGTAATTGATGACAACCCTTATACAAAGATATGAATTAAATTCAATTGAATCCATGTTGCTTGCCCAAGCATATTTACCATTTATAAACGAATATGGGCAAGTTTCATGAACCCCAAATGGTAGCAATTGCTCCCCCTACATATGTGCTAAGAGTTTAGATTTTAGCTTGCACATATGCTTATATAGGAAATATAGGGGTCATTGTCTACCAAATGATGCTAAGGTATAAAAGATGGACCTTTGAAGCGTGATACCAATCGGAGTGCACCATTATACCATCCTTAGCACCATGGCTAGCTTTCTATCACTTAGAAACATACTTTGTAAAGATACCACTTGTAAAAACTCACTTGAAAAAGAAAGTTATATAGTGATTTCATTTCATCATTTAATCTTACGACTATCATACACCACACAAGCATGGATATTGAAATTTAAAACTTGTGCCATGCAAGCAAAACATATGAAATGCACATTCAAATGCACCATACAAGTTCATGAGCTTGCTCCCCCTACTTGTGTGCTCAAAATTTTAATTTATCCCTTTCCTTTTCACTTCTCTCCCCCTATGTCATATATCAAGTATATCTTTATGTTTCTCCCCTTTGTCACTATTTTTACTACTATCTTTGTTTCTCTCCCCCTTTGTCATCAATGACCACAAAGGTTCTAAATGAAGATAATATTACTTGTAGGGTTGAGATTATCAATGTCAATCAATGGGATGAGGATCATTTTCCCAAATTTGGTCCAATCTAGATGATTTGCCAAAGATATTTAACTCGGTTTGATCCAAGGACAAGCTTCTTTACACCTCCTAATAAGGGTTATCTTATACCATGTTGAGTTAAACACTTAGAGCTTATTTTCTAGATTAAACACTAGGTTTACAAGCCCATAAACATGTCATATGCTATCACTAGATCAAGTCAAGCATAGAAGCAATAGTGATACCATATAAACATCAAATTCATTTGATTTTCATGAATGAGCCTAATGAAATAGAACCACTTGAAAGGTCCAAATAAAATTGAAAATGTGACTAGATGCACTAATCATGTCCTTAGCATAGATGTATGTCATGCCAATCAACTTTTACCTTGGATTGCTTGAAGGAGAGGCATGTCATATAAGTCGGGGGTGCATCAACACATATTTGAGAAATCCAATATGTTTAACTCATTCCTTAGCTTGCAAAAACTTTTCTCATCCAATGGCTTGGTGAATATGTCGGCAAGTTGATCTTCGGTGCCTACACTCTCAATGCAAATGTCCCCTTTTTGTTGGTGATCTCTTATGAAATGATAGCGGACATCAATGTGCTTTGTTCTTGCATGTTGAACCAGATTGTTGGTTAGCTTGATTGCACTCTCATTGTCACATAGCAATGGCACTTTCTTGAACTTGATTCCAGAATCACTCAAAGTGGCCTTCATCCAAAGTATTTGTGCACAACAACTACCGTCGGATATGTATTCGGCTTTGGCAGTTGATAATGTAACACTATTTTGTTTCTTTGATGACCATGAAACAAGTGATCTTCCCAACAATTGACATGTGCCCGAGGTGTTATTCCTTTCAACCTTGCATCCCGCATAATCTGAGTCGGAGTAACCAACTAGCTCAAACTTTGCTCCTTTGGGATACCACAAACCAACATTTGGTGTATGCTTCAAGTACCTCAATATCCTCTTTGTAGCCTTCAAATGACTTTCTTTTGGTGAGGCTTGAAATCTTACACACATGCATACACTAAACATGACATCCGGCCTTGATGCGGTCACATAGAGTAGGCTTCCAATCATAGACTGATACAACTTTTGATCCACCATATCTCCACTTGCATCACTATCCAAGTTGCCATTTGTTCCCATTGGTGAGCTAATGACTTTGCTATCAATCATGCCAAACTTCT